AATTGTTTTTTTTTTCTGACCTATCCCTTGTCTACTTTTCTGTGCCGGAAGAGGGGTTCTTCTATATCTCAATAACCTCCTCATAAAAGCACTTTTGCCTGGGGTGCATGATGTCCAAGTCATACAGTGATGTGCGTCACCATGAAACAAAAAATGCCGATGCATTTACTTGAAAAGAATGGACAATCAGTTATAAGATGCATGTACTGTGTCCTTTTCTTTTTGAGACTGCTAACCTGGACATGGTTTCATTAATAAGAATCACAGGTTCAGGAAGCCTACAGAAAGGAAAAGATAAGAATTACAGCTTTACATCATAAGATCTTTTAAAAAGATTATACAGATCTCATTGAATATGTCAGTTTTCATTTCCAAGCACCAAAAATAAGACTTGAAAGAAGCTAGATACAGATCTGGAGAGATGCGTCTTCTCGCCTTAGAAGACTCGCCTACTTTTTCCCAACCATAGATTCCAAAAGAGGAAATTTCCAATGAGTGACCACAATTTTCATCCATTTGATGAGGTAGAGTCCCTTGCTAAAATAAAATCCTTTGAGATGAACACTTGGGTTTAGCTTGATAGACACACCTAAAGGTTTACTCTTGATCTTAGACTAAGTTTAAGAGATCATCTCTTAGCCTTCAGTGTTCGTCTAGTGTTTTGCGTATCTTGTTTCTGTTCATTTTTTTTGTAGTCTGTCTCCTTCCATAAGTTAGACTTAATCTTTTTCAAGTTAACCTCTATGGCCATTTATCGTAGTAGTCATGGTTGAATCCTAGACCAATGCCAATATTTCCAATGGTAACCATTAAAGAGATAGACCTTGGGTCTAACTCAACCCAAAAGCTAGCTCATGAGATGGGGATTGCCAAAAACATATAAGGAGAGAACAAACCAGTTCCGCAATCAGTGTTGGACACTTAACACCTCGTACACCCAAGAGTGAACTTATGGAGCATGGACAATATAACATTTTTCTTGAAAAGTCTTAACATTAGTAATCCAAAAATCATAGTTGATTTGGCTCTGATACCATGTTAAGAAAATGGACCTTGGGCCTAACAAAACTCCAAAAGCTAGTTTATAAGTTGACAATTGCCCAAGACTACTAAGGAGACTACAATCAATTAAGTAAATACTTTCTAAGAAGGAGCATTGAGTTGATTCTTCTTGTTTGTGTTAATTTAACATGTCCTGTTTTATAGGAAAAACCTTAACTTAGATTCTTTCTCTTTCTTTCTTGGTTCGACCTTTTCACGTCTTGGACTGTGCTTTCTTTCTCTAGTTTGTAATGATAAATGATTCTCCCTGAGAAAAAATATTGCCATTTCAATAGCTGGGGCATATCTTCTGATACATCAATTTTAGCTTTGCGTTTCCTATCACTTCACAAGCTAGTACTCTTTCTGAAATGTAGTCGTTTAACAAGAGAGCAGTAAAGTTAAAGGGAAGATCTGAAAATAAATGGATTCATCCAGGCAGTAGACCTGTATTTAATATAAGTGTAGTTGATCAATGATCCTTATCCCAAAACAAAATGGTGTAGTTGGTGAAAGGTAACAAGTATGAATAAAAAATATATGTAACCTGTAAATAGCTAGAGAATATAGTAGAAGGGCAACGTTTCTGTTCATTCGTTTTAACATACCACTATCCAAGCGGGTGCAAAGTTGGTTCCTGAAAAAGAAAATTGGTTCCTGAACTTTTTCTGTGGATCCTTCATAATGCCCCAAGAACTTGTTAAAATTGAACCCATGTGTATACAATAATTGCACCCAAATCCATGTGCATAGGAGAAGGTTACTTGGGTACTTGATAAGATACATGTTCACAAATCCAAAAATATGAAAATATTACTTGGGTATCTAAAAGTGCTAGTACAGTAGTATGTGGATGGTTGTTTTTATGTAATAATGGAAACTTCGATTTTTCAAACGACTATGAGATTGCACCCTCCCTCCACCTCCAGCATGTATAAAAAGAAAAGTTCGTGTTTCAAATTTAGTATAGAACGGCAAAGAGTTTCATCGAGCATATGTCATATTCAGAGTTTTCGTGTGTGTACATCGAAAACCAGCTCTTTTTTGACTCTTGATGTGATTGTTTCCTGCCCCTGCCTTGACAAAACTAGTTTAGTTATCACCTTTAACAAAGAAGGCATTTTGCCTGTTCATGTGGAAATCTTTTGATAATTTGTCACTCTTGTCCTGAAAAGATGCTTACAAATGGATAAACTCTGATCCAATAGGATATGTTGAGTTGTTGCAGAGCATTTGAAGTAAAGATTTCTCTCTTATGGTTATAGTTGTATCTAGTGGATGGTCAATATACTTATTTGTTGATTTATTATTATCATCAGATGTTCTATTATAAGGGATACAAATGGTTAATGGCTTGGCTTGTGAATTGTCTATATGGCAAGTTAGCTTAAAATTGTTATATGGACTAAATTCTTATAAGCGAAAACAGAATTAGAAAATGAGACTATGCAATTTGAGATAAAAATTTCAAGGTGATGGTGTCGTTGTAAGAAGTTATATTTGGTTTGTGGCAAGATTTGCTAGATCTACTGGAAAATCCCAGCTTTCTTAGTTATTGTCTATATTATAGTCCTTCATTACAATTGAAAGTCATACTTGAGATTTTGATAGATATACTTGAACTGCATTCTCATTTGGCCGACTGTATTATGAAATATTTCACATTACTTATAAGAGTCTGCTGCACTTCAGGTAGCTATCCCTATTGTTCCAACCATTCGAGTTCTTGTTACATTTACAAAGTTCGAAGAGCTTGAACCAGTGGACGAATTCTCAACCCCTCTTTCAAGCCCTACCAATTTCCAAGATGCTAAGTCCAAGGAATCGGATGGCTCTACATCTTGGATTTCGTGGATGAGGGGGAATCGTGATGAGCTATCTAGCGACAGTAAAAGCCACAGTTTCCAGGACGAGATTGATCCTTTCCGTATACCTTCTGATTATGCTTGGGTTGATGCAAATGAGAAAAAACGCCGGATGAAAGCCAAGAAAGCAAAGAGGAAGCATAAAAAGCAGGGTGCCACTAGAAATCCAGAGACTGGGCAGCAGACTAGTGAAGATGTTGAAGAATAACAGTGAGCGTATTTCTCCTCTCCTACCTACCATAGGAAGAAGAGGTAAAGCCCTCTGTTTCCCTGCTCGTGCCAAGCAAGTTGAGGCTTACATGGGGGGCATGTTTAGGGGTTTGCCTCTATTATATTAGAAGTTATTTATCTTCATCAAGCGATATTTATCTTCTGCTGTTGTTGTATCTTAATTTAATGTGAAGATTTACAAAAAACATTTTTTTTCCCCGTCTTCATAGCATCTCCAGCATGTTTACTGAGCTAAGTACAATAGGCAGATTCGAGTTGGAGATTTCTTGGGGAGAGCTTCCATGATCTCTCGGGCTTTGTAGAACAATGAGTGGCATACGAGTCCTGTCCTTTTTAAGATTTTTCGTTCTTTGTAGCCTTTGATAGAGGAAAGCAGTCTGTGCTTGGCCGTCTTGTTAAACAGATTAAATTTGTAAAGAGCTTTGCTATTTCCAACAGCCTAGTGCACTTGTCTGTTCTCTTTTTCGTAATAATCTTGAGGTACTACGTGCTCCTATATAAGGTAATCGTTGTTCTATAATTTGAGATGTTGAATTTTTGGTAGTTTGTATTACAGTGGACTTCGAAGGAAAATAGTAACTGCAATCAGTCAAATGTGCTTATATAGTTGTGTTATTCCATAATAATTTGCATAAAGTGGTCTAGAGGAGGACAGGAGATCAACGTCAGGAGGAGAAAAGATCGCTGAGAAAGCATTTTGACGAAGATAAAAAAGTTCGACACATGAAAGAACCCCGTAAACAAAGCCCGTATTCTTCCTAAACCCCTTTTTCTTAGAATCTAGGGTATTGAATAAAGTAACAAACTGAGGGGACACTGATTTGAGGGAAGCATAGGAAGACACCCAAAGGTTATGTTAATTGTACTTTATTAGTCTAATAGCTTGTTGGCCAAGTTGCAAAAATCACTTATTTTGAGAAATGCTTTTTCTCAAAAGTACTCTTGGTAGGAAACAGTTTGTGTTTGACTAATTAATATGAAAAACACTTGTGGGCAGCAATTAATGTTTGGTCAAGCTTTTAAAAACTGCTTTTTTTCTTCTAAAAGCCCGTACTCAAAAGTACTTTTTTTCTTCTAAAAGCTTGGCCAAACACTTTCACTTTGAAAAAAAATTACTTTTAACTTTGGAGAAGCTTAGCCAAACTGGCTATAAAACGCCTAAAGAAATAGTTGAGAAAATCAAGAAAGGTTTCGTTTTCAATACTAGAGGGAGGGAGAGAGAATATGAACGATATCATGACAAGATCTAAGATTTTAACTCTAAGAAGAAGTACTAGTCCATTATACCTACCCCTTTATGATATTAAATAATGTAGACTTCATATAAAGGCCTTTGTGCAACCGTATTTGCCCAAGCATATAACTTTTCTTGCCTTGCATATCTTTGCTACATATAATTCAGGTTTGACACAACCATAATTTGCAACATTGACGAGTTGATTGGCAGCTAGGACAATGGATCCCTTTTTATTTGTAGGTTTATGTCACCAAATTGGATCCCAAAACTGTTTGAATAAACTCAACCTTCAGTCATAGTTGCAGATCCAATATAGAAGCCACTGATTCTATAGAACTCACTCCTTCCACCTTACGCGAAAAAACGCGTAGAGATATGGTTAGACATGTATTTCAGAACCTACATTTTCAACCTAGAACCCACAGAGCATGCTATCCAAGACGACAAAAAAACTATTTATCTTTGATCGCAGCCTTATATTAGTCGTCTAAGGGGAAAATGCCTTGCACAAATCAGGAGTTAAGACACAAAAAAACTCCACTATGAATATGAACCATGCACTAAAAAAATGATCATAGGAATTTGTGGTTGTACCAGGTTATTTTCAACCTACAAAATGCAAAGCCTTCCACACAAAAGGTTTTCCTCGACAAATGGCATTAGCAAAGACCCAATCATACTAGATTCTTAAAATTATCTCATAGTAGTATATACATCAGACAAATTCAAGTTTAAGTAACTGAGAAGATGAAGGACTACTGGTTTGAAATGTGAAATAGAGCAAATACAGAAACATAGCTTGATTGAAGACATGTCCAAATGCGGAAACAAAGGTAATCAAGTTTTCGCTAACACCACACAGCCGTGCTTAAAACTCCAACCCGCCTGAGCCTTCCTTACATTTAATATAATTCATCGCATGTTATCTCTGCGCCTGTTATATCTATTGGGTCTTATTCTGTCGTTACGCTGAGGAACAGGCTCTACTCTCCTCTGTCGTTCAGGTGATCTCTGAACTATCTCTCCATTGACAAAAAGTTCAGCTGCAAGGAATTAGATAAGATCAGTGCTAGGGCAAAATCATACACATCCTTCATCAAATATTAAAACTAAATACATTCGACGCATGAATCTCAGAGCTTAGCATGGAAGGCATAGGAAAAATAATACTATAACACGACAAAATCAAGGTCATCTAACAGACACATTTTTCTCCTATGTACCAAAAGCAGTTTTAGTGGGTTTACTGGTGGGAGGGGGGAGGGGAAGAGAAGGATTTTCTATTTTTCGGAATTGAGTCTGAACTCTGTACTTCTCTGTTGAGAAGTAAACCACCTCAGAAGAGGAAATCTTGAAGAAGATGGAGAAAATACTGAGCTTGAACTCAATGAAAGTATCAATTAAAAAAAAGACACCTTTAAAGGCAGCAATTACATGGAGCACTTGAAATCTAAAAGCTTCAAAATCAGAATGTTTCCATGTTTTCACAAAATACTATCAGTTCATTAGTAGGAATTAGGAAAAAAGCAAAATCTTTTTTGACAAGTCCAATAGAAAAATCACAGTTTGTACCGGTTTAGAAATTTGATATTGTTCTGGATTTAGGTGAGCAGACAGCTAGTTAATTAGGGGGGAATGCAAATGGGTAAAAGACAAGGTATCTTCACAATAACACTAATGCAATAGGGGATACATCAGTCACCCGATAGATCCATACTTCTAACGGCACGTTCTACAAAGCAGATGACTGAGTTAAAGCAGAGAGTCAGCATATGTTGAATTCACACATTCTTGGAATTCTTTACATCATAGTGGATCACTTTCAGGTGATGATTAGGAATCTCATGCTCAGTGTACAATCCTTACTATTGATAACATATCCTCCCGTAATTCACTTGACACCCCACCTCACCCCACCCCCCAACTTGTCCGAACCAATTTGTGTGCACCTCGACTGTGCCATGGGGTATCTACTATCTCCAACCAACATAGGTAACGAGTAACTTTGTCCACCAAGGCTCAGGCAAATATAAAGAAATCACCTAATGTTTTTAGTCTATACATGAACCATGGTCTCCAAAGTTTGCACCCACTTCATTGGCCACCGGAGCACACCCTTGGGTACTCTCCTAATTCACTTCACCTATTCGTCCTCTTAGGGTTATCAAAAAAAGATTGACAACTTTCTAAAAAGAAAATATATCATGTTAGGATTTAAATTCACAATCTGACATTTCTTTATGTTTGACTTAGTAAGACGTCCTTGAAATTTCTCCCGCTACCAATTATTGACTATATCTCCAAGCAACTCATACATCGTAACCCATAAAATGTATATTCTTCATAATATAAAGAAACCATGGATGCCCATCTTTCAATCACATTCTTCATCTATTTTCTTCAAAGAAGCCAACATTAATCTCAGTTAGTTGCCTCTGAATGCTCGTACTGGTGAGATAACTTATAGATTTTACAATTCAAATTACTGTTTGGATTATATTTTGGACACAGTTACACATAAAGGACAAAGACAAGAATTTTAAGAAACATCAAGCAAGAGCAGAATTCTTTTATGCATTTCTTGATTCTAGCTATTGGGTCTCCTACTACCTTATGGAACATGATCTACAGCTCAGAATTTGCTGCTAAACAAAGAGCAAACAATTGCTCAAAGAATATTTTGTTTTTAATCAGCAAATAGCTAAAAGAATGTTTACCTCCATAATCCTTGTATTCAGGATCAACATAGGAATCAGGCAGCACAAAGAGAACACCAGGCAAACCTATTGCAGAAAACATTTGAAGTCAATTCTTTAATATAAATAGATATATTGCAAATAACTATTCAAATGAAAGTAAATCATTTCCAACAGACCTTCCATTTTATTTGCAGTCTCCTCATCAACTTCACACCCAAAGCCAAAATACCTCTCACATGACACATTGTAAATCTTCTTTTTTGCTTCCTCTTCACTACACATTCAAATTAGAGACTACATGAATAGGTATAATAAAACTAATACTATTACACATCAATCCTAACTAGCCAGGGTAGGTTATATGAATCCTCAATGACAATTCTACTTCACGTGGGCCTTTTTTATTCCAATAGTTAATACACTTGAATAGCTACATGAACAAAAAAGCACAAATGAGTTATCTAGACACATTTATACTACTTCCATCCAAAGAAAACAGTAAATGTTACTATTTGAAAGTCAAAACAATTTTCTTTTGGATGACAATGGTGTCCGGCTAACTTGAGCGCATCTCGACATTTTCGCTGGGCACTTCAACCTCTCACCAATACAAGTGCTAGTTCTGCCCACCAAGGCTTAGGCAGGTAAGAAGAAATCACCTACTAATATTTTTTAGCCTCAGCTGGGATTGAACCTGAGATCTCGTGATTCTCCTCCTAAAGCAATGACTGCTAGGCCACATACTTGGGTGCAAGTCAAACAAGTCAAACAACTTTTAAAATATATATATATATATATATATCTTAAACATTTTCAAGTAGAAAAGTATATCTACTTTTATATAGGCCGAGTGAATATGCAAGTTTTATTTGAAAAAACTGAAAATTACATCAGTTAATCCTCATATCAAATATCCGTCATTTATTACAGAGGGAGTATTTTCTTATTACCCTTGCAATCCCTTTTCAAAACTTTAATTTGTCAATACAACTTTTTTAAAACATATATTTTTTACAACATATTCAAGTAAAAAAATATTAAGGTATATCCACTTTTATATAGGCTGAATATGTAAGTTTTATTTGAAAAAAACTGAAAACTATATAGTTGATCCTCACAATCCAAAACACTGACATTTACTACACGGAATATTTTCTTATTTCCCTGCAATTCCTTTTCAAAATTTTAAGATATTTCTAACATTAACAGTATATATTTACATAGTTTCTACATATGTAAGCTTTATTTTTTTAAGAACTAATAACTCTGCTGAAAAATAATAATCTGTAATCTCTCATGCCCTAAACCTACCATTTTTTAAGGACGATGGGAACATGCTATTTTTGCCTTCTAAGGACTTCAGCTAGGGTCCTTATGAAAGCTTTTATTACCTTCCGAGGAGTTTAGCTAGGGTTTCAATGTAACAATATATCATTTACTACATTTATAGTACATTTTATATAGTTTCTACAGATAACCCTTTTATAATTTAACAATTAACTTCGTAAATTAAATGTTTTTATTACCTTCCGAGGACTTTAGAGAGGGTTTGAATGTAGCAATCAATCATTTGCTGTTTATTAGCGCCTTCTCCACCAGGTTTATCCATAACAATGAGCCAGTGCTCGTAATCACAGCCCGGAAACAGCGGGGCCATCTCGGTTGGAACCCGGTCGCCGCTCCCCGGAGTATAAGGCGAGTTACCGGCCCGGTTCACTCGGAACCTAACAGAACTGAGACTGAACGGTTTGAGGAAATTAGGGTTTTTGGGTAGAAGGGAATGGGAGAGAAGAAACGACGGTTGAGGTGAAGATCCGACGGATGGAATAGGCGGAGGATGTGTTATTGACGGCGAAGATAAAGCGGAGGAGGAGAGGAAGCGAGAGTAGTGGCGAGAAGTGTAGAGAGTTCGAGTAATGGATTTGGTGATTTTAGAGGACGCCATTTTTGATGATTTTTTTTAGAGTTAGGGATTGTTGGAGTTGGAGGGTTTATACTTGTGAAGACGAGGGTTTATGGGATTTATCAAGGGATAGTCGGCTTTATTGTTCCCTTTTTTTTGGGGGGGGGGTCGGGGGGAGTGGGGGAGAGGTTAGCTCAATCTCAATTACACAGCCACAGGTCTTGAACTTTCACTAACTTACACTTTAAGGTCTGAAGTTTTGAACTGTCAAAATTAAACTCCCGAAAGTTTGAAATTTAACAACTTTAGATCCGACGTTTGAAGTTAGGCTTTGACAATGCAAACTTCAAACCCCGATGGTTTGAAGTTTGAAACTTTATGCTCACAATTGAAACTTTCAGATTTAAAGTTTGATTATGAAACGACTAAATTTTATATATTTTAAATGTGGTCTTAAAACGACTATTTGTTAATTTGAGTCCTGAGATTGAAAAAATTCAGTCAATTTGCTTGAACGACTTAAATTCTAAGTAGTGGCTTACGAATCATATATGGTTATAACCAAAAAGTAAAATAAAACTACTGAGTAGTAACAATTTTTTTTTTACTTCATGGAGTTAGGAACAGCCAACTATACAAAATAGTTGTTTCTTTAAATGTGGTCTTAATCCTTGTGATCTCTAGATTGTTGTCTGATATACAAAATAGCCGTTTGTAACGAAGCGAGTATTTTTTATAATTGTTCGGTCAAATCAATTTTGATCCAACAAGACTATTTTGTTTTGTACTTAATTTAATGACTAGTAACTATAACTTTCATCAGATGTTAATTCATTTTGTTAATTTGTTTCCTCATGTAATTTAATTAAATACTTTCCTCATCTATGTAGAGTCACAAATTATTTCTTACTTACAAATTACATGTCCTAATTATATCATATATGTTATTCTGTATTTACAATTTCTCTGTTTTCTCCTCTTTCCTTTTAAGTTTTACTACCCACTTTACATTGTGGGACTCAAATGATTTTCACTTTTTGCAGATGCGACAGAAGGCTGAAAGATAACGGGGTACAAAAAAATTCTGGCTTAAAAATTAATTGCATTCTAAATTTTGAACTACAACAATGGCACAAAAGTAGAATACACTCAACATTATTTACTGTAGAGGCAATGAGATGGATTAGTGCCATGGAAAAAAATATCCCCCTTATGATCTCAACGTTTTTCAGTGTAACGGTTATTCATCCCTTCTGATCCTGGAGGGAAATTAAACATCATCAAAAAGTCTTCTGATCTGATCCACATTTGCAGGCATCAATGTCGCAGGGCAGCGCTTATACTGCACAAAAGGGAAACAGAACATGAATTTACAAACCCAAAAAAAAAGATATTTAAAGGAAAAAGAAAAAATTAAACACTATACATGAACAAAAGGCAAATATATTTGCACCAAAATTTAAGTTATATACACTGACAATATACAATATTTTTACACTATCTGTAATTTATACTGTGATAAATGATAGGTTAGTTACCAAGTTTACAAGGCTAACAAGAGGAATCATGGACAAGTATAGATGAATCAGCTCCATGATTCTACTAACAGCTAGCAGAAAGTACAAGCAGTAGATAGTCATGGGAATAGCTGCTTAACAACAAAACATCTGAACAGAATTATATATTGCATTTGGGTTTTTTTTCTTTCCCGGGGTTCTTCTTGAAATTAGCAGGTCAAGAGATTATTTCAGTATTAAGTATAAAGAAGCCAATATAACATTGCCATCATGTGATTTAGTTTCCGCGCATCGGATCAACTGAATCTGGAATTTCACCTGAGAAACATATCTGAAAATGCAGGAATAGCAGAAGACAAATCCTGAAACTGACACTACTGATGGATTTGCACGCTTTTGTGAGCATAAAGGACATAGTGTTCTGTCTGAAGGTAGTGGAATTCCCTCTTTTGCAACCTGCTCAAATTGAAAAAAGGTTATACATAAGCATTGTTGCAGGAATACAAGAAAAAAATACTTCACTTATGCAAAATAAAACTAGGGTAAGATTTAGACAAATCATGAATTTTCACCATCGTGATCGCTTCCAATTTTCTTTTCTTTTTTTTTTAACAAGTATGGTCACTTCCCATTGGTAAGTGGCTCAGATACACTGGCCTAATTTATCCAAACTACTTTAAGAATGCCAAAGCAAGTGAGCTTTTACATAAAATAAAAACTTCAATGGCATTAGTGCAACCATATGTAGGGAGAATGACACTCTTTATACACAAGTAACATATAATTCGTATTCATATGACATCCTTAGCTCCATCTGGTGCCGACTGCTTAAATGGATTGGTGTAACTGACAAGTCGGAACACACATTAAAGCTTCAGAAATTATGGTTGACTTGCAAAAGTCAAAATGCATGCACCAGATCGCAATTTACTGAGCTAAGCACATCTAGTTGTTACCAAGTATCAAATGTATTTGCTCATCCAATATGAATCATAAACAAAGAAAAAACATTCTTCATCTTCATTGAGCTAAGCAAGGTGTCAAAGTTGGAGCAGTATGGCTGCCAAAAATATCTTTCACATGTTCCAAATTAGCCAATTGGAAATGCACTCACCTTTGGAGGTGGAGGAGGAGGTGGGGGTGGATAAACAGTCGGAGCTGACATCCTTTCTTCTGCTGATTGATACCACCACTCCATCATCTGAGTACATTGAAGAACATAAAGGGAAGTTTAGTTATAGAATTGATACATGAGCATAACAAAACGTGAGAAGAAAAATAATCTCTCTAAGGGAGTTATTTAGAAAATCTACAGAACTTGAGCTAAAGAACACTTACTTTAAAGAAAAACACTGCAGCAATCAGGCCAGTTTGAGCGTAGTCAAGAACTCCATATGCACAACTTAGTAAACCACTTTGTACTGCCTGAAATGTTAATGGTTTATAAGTATTGAAGGTCAGAATATTGACTGTGATGATAACTTCACACGAGACTATGAATACATCAAAGAGAAGGGCACCTCCATTTTTTGTTTTTCTATTGTTTTAAGTACCGGGCACCTCGATAAAGAAGTAAAACTAATACCAAGAAAGATATACGTAGTCCCATCTAGTACAACAGAAACATGGAAAAGAGATTTACGGGATGAACACAGACCTTCAGCCAGGGGGGTCCTCGAAGTCTCTCACGTTCACGGCTTCTTATTTTAGAAATCCTTGAAGAAGTATCCATCTACCTTGACATCGCATAAATGAAAATCTTAAACAACATGATGGTATAAAAGAGGAATTGCATCGTAAATAAGATCAATTGGTTGATAGATTAAATTGGACAGATTCAGATCTAAATTGCAACTTTTCTTGATTCAGATCTAAATTGGATAGACACAGATCTAAATTGGAACTTATACCCACAGATTCAAGGTAATAGGAGGGGGGGGGGGGGGTTACCTCAAAGCTCTTTGTTTTTATTTTTTTGGATAAGGTAAGCATGAGAACCATTATCAAACCAGCACAGAATTAAAATTTTCAACTGAATTATCCATAGTGTTCTAATCGTCAAAAGGAACTTCCACGAATCAGAAAATTACATTATCCAATTGATCATTCACATACAGATAGTTCACATCACTTGTTACACATTTAGATGACCTAACAGAGTAAAACTAGTCACCTACATATTGAGTCAAGTAACATCATACTATTAGTTCATTAATCTTTCAGAAGTTCATGCAAGGGTGCCTAAAGGTTCTTGGAATTCATTTCATAGTTACCATACTCGTATTTGAATACTTAATAGTACAGGCATTACAAAATTCTCCATACAAATTCTTTACTTTTCCAGAACTAATAACATCTTCCAGACCAGAGAGATACTAACAAGAAACTGTCTGCAGACATACCAGTTCCTGTCCTGTAGCCCGGCAAACATGAATGCCAAGAGCATGGAGTCCTAGAGAGTAAAATCCAGTAGCATCCAGCAAATACAGTAGCTGGTAAGCAAATGAAAAACCTGCAAGACAATCAGCCAGGAATAAGAGAAGGATGGCATCAGGGCCTTCTAAAGATCTCTATTTAAGGGTGACAAGTTACTTTATACTTTTGAACCATGTTGCTCAGATCCTTCAAAAATATCGCCGGGTGTGTGTTAGATCCTCTATAAGTTATTCATTTTTTGGAGGATCTGACACGAGTGCAGCATCATTTTAGGAGGATCCGAGCAACATAACTTTTAACGTGAAGCCTAAAAAGATACAAGGTGCAATATTTCAAAGACGAATTGCAAAGGTTTCACCATGAAGGTTAGGGTCCTTTTCACGTTGTATAGGTGGTAAGACCATCTAGAGGTGTTACAAAATGAACCTAGACTTACTTCTTAGCCATGTACACATGCCATATAAAGATAGCAGATTTACAGGATCTTTCTTTTGATTATTTCCTTATTTGGACTCAAAGTACATGTATATATATCTTGTACTTCTTACAATGATATACAAGGGAATTTCCTCCATTACCTTGATACTTTACAAGAGGCAACATGAGCGATTAATGACCAGAACAAATAGGAAAATCTTCGTCATCTCATTTCAAACAGTGAAACAGAATGAACAGTACACACACAAAAAATGAGTATATTCATAATCACAAATGAGAGACTAAGCCCTATTTACCTTCATTTCCAGCATGTATCCATGGGTAGCAAGCAGCTACAATTTTTCGAATTTTCTTTCTCAAACGATCTCTAACTGATTCTTCTGCATTTGAACTGCTCGTTGAAACTGTGGAGTTCCCAGCTCCATCAAAATAGTCAGTGTCACCAAATCTCTCATCTTCATGGCCCCATAAAGTAGCTTGAAGAGCAACCTCTCTTTCTTTATTGTAGATAGAATGCAATTTTGATCTAAGATATGGCAAAATGACCTAAAGAAACACATCCAAATTATGTCGTTGCATTTATCAAAACTTTACAACTTAAAAGGCAAAAACTTGATTCGGCAATCATTTCTGAAGTCATGGCTCCTATTAGATGTTTCCGAAAATGGGAGTTCAGTAAGTTTCTGCAAACGAGGCGTGCATGCAGACTATCCTTCTTTTCTATAATGATGGTATCCGGC